CCCCCCTTCTGGATGCTCTTGCCACTCACAGCAAAATGACTTAGGTCTTGGCATTCTTACAGTTGTGTATTTCACCATCAATATCTAAGCAGTAAACAGTTCTAAAACTGGAAATCATTCACATATTCCCGACTATAACTGTTCTCCCTAGCTTTGATATCTCTGTCAATCCTGCTGATATTTTATAAGAAATTATGGGAACGAGGAGAAAACACAAGTGGTCTTCTATTGGACACAATGAGTCAATGGTCTCAATCCTTTCCAAGTTATCATTACATAGCCTGTGGTATGTATGCCAAAAGCAATTTGATTTAAACCTTAGTATTTGTTTTCTAACCATATGTAGCAAAATAGTACATAAACTTCTTTATCACAATTTTTGGATGAGCTTTTGCCTTACACAAATAGATAATGTAACAAAGGGTGCTATAGAATGGCGCAGGCTTTCTTTCACAAGTTAAGTTTTCTAATCTTTTTATTCTAAGCATGGTAAAAGATCTCATACATTATGGTCTGTCTAGATTTATTGCATTGTCCCTCACTCTTCCCAGCAGCTACCTTATTGGTGCAAAAACATTTTGCCATGTTTGATTCAATTTTTCATTTTCCTGATACAAATTGAAATATGTCTTTAAGCATATCACCAAAGAGTGAAAAATAGTCCCATGGGCAACATTTTCATTGAAAAATTTGGAGTTGTTCTTGAGAAAATGTTGTTTGAATGTTTCTGAAAATGTGCAATATTGAGCTCCTTTTCATGGAAAAGTTTTTGAGAAACTTCATAAGAAATGATTTGAAGCACTTCTATTCACAAATGTAATAAAGGAAAGAAAATATCCGTAATGTGATTATTAATGATAAGAGATATTTTTTTAAATTACCTTTGTGTAGTTATTGAAAAATCAAAATGGCAATTTTGTCATGTAATTCAGTGTTTTTAGCGCTAGCCCCACACCCATACCAAAAAAAAAATTTTTTAAAAAAAAGCTATTTTTGATAAAAGTCATTTGAGCATTTTTGAAATTTTGAAGCTTCGGTGAAAGGGTATGCGTTTTTGAAAAACTTTGTAAAACATCATTTTAATCACTTGTTCTCCCAAATTCAATAATGTATAAAAATGCTCATAAGCTAGGTATTTGAAACAATTTTTTAGATTGTTTGTTTTAAAAATTGCCTTTTTCTTGCAAAATTACTCAAAATCTACTCATATTTAAAACTAATGGTACTCAAATAGCAAATACTTTCTAGACCCTTAGTAACGGCTATGTAATAATATTACTCCGCCTTCAGTCTACATCAACAATCTCAGACAATGAGTGCAACAAAGCGTGTATGCAGCAATGGGCGCAGCCGATAATGGGCATATTTTTTCTTATCAATTCTTCTTATAAGCGCCATTTTTGCCATAAATGGGACTGTTTTTCAATTTGCTGTGGTTTTATGATAGTTCTTCTAAGGCGATCTTTATGGAACACTATTGCTTGTTTCGAATACGTACAATTATTTTTCACCATGTCTCCAAGATATCTTGTTCATTCTTAAATGTTTTATTTTCTTTTAAATGAAGACTTACAACAAATCAAAACCATAATTAATCACTTTCTTAATTCAATACAAAATTAAACAGTTATAGATGCTCCGAAGAGCAGTAAAGCAGAAAGCCTGCAAAAAGGTTTCATCTTTGCTGTCAAGTTCGTACGTTAGTTTTTTGAAAAAAAAAAGTAATAAATAAACAAAAACTATTATAAACATTGTTTTTATTTCCAGTGCATCATACAGACAAGCAAGGATAATTTCACAAATAAGTGGAACATCTAGAAATAAATGCCATCGAATATATCCCATTATGAATGTATTCTATCTCTTAATAATCTACCTAATTATTCTATTATGAATGTTAATGTTAACACTATTGCTTGTCTTACAACATGTGTGAACATGAAATCACAACTGGATTACTAATTGTAGAATTAAGTAAAGAAAAAGTGTGAGAAAGCAAAAATAGAATTAATTTTGGTATTTTCAATAGGAAATTATGATTAAAATTAAATTAATTACTTTTCATTCACTTTTTCTCGGGGCCCATAGTTGGTGTGAAACCTGTATATAGAGGGAAGGCAAAATATCTAAAGGGATTTTTGGCTTTTAGAAGCAAAAACTTTAATGTCAAATAGCTTGCAAAATATACGGAATTGTACAATGATGTAAATTATTAAGAGATGTTGAGAACGTAAAGTATAAGAAAATCTAAATATTAATTGGATTTAATAAAATTTGTATACTTCAGGATTTGTGCAAAAATATAGCAAAGAAATATTATAAGACATTGTTGATAGGCGAAAAATGACACTTGAGGTATATAGTTGTGGTAAGGCAAGAGCGCATCAAGGAAGAAAGATAACAATCAAATAAGTGAGCTTGTGAGGCCAGATAGAAAGTGTAAACAAGGAATTTCTGACAGGATGATCCCTGATTTGTTAGGTTGAGGATTGATGTCCAACAACCCATTGTGTAGTAATATTTTTGTGATTAGTCTGACAAGATAGAAAATGGACATGTGGTTCACGGGTAATGGGTGAATAGTGATGTAATTTAAATGAGATTATTCACAAAAAAGTCTGAAATATTCATGGGATAAATAGATCGCAAATAAGAATAGAAATTTTATTAGTTAAAATTCAGAGTGGACATAAGAAGAGCTCCAGGTGAACTGAAACAGGCGCTGATGTCATTAACAACGCCAACATTGCTGTGCATTCTGCAAAAGGGAAGGTTAGGCAATAAGTAACAGTCATTAATAAAAATAGTATAAGAAGGCCAAGTTATGTTTAAATATTAAGTTAACATTAAAATAGAATTATTATGTGTGTTTTGTTGGTAGGAGTTTGATGGCCATCAATAGAAACCAACCAATGATGTTCAAGTAGATAATTTCATGTTTCTAACTAAAAGATCAAACTGTCTGATACTACTAACAATGCAAATTATATAATTATAATTAAAATTATAATAATTTATTGATACTGCTAGTAAAGACAAGGTGAAAAATTAGTACAACCATATTATTTTCCTTTTCAGTATTAATTGAGTTATACCAATAATGATATAGTAAATATTATGAGCTTGAACTGCTAATTGTAAATAGAAAATCAGATTTCAACTTAATAACAAATCAATATTATTTATGCAAAAACAGTAATTACATATTAAATGAGATAATTACAAGGAAAAGGAATTTTAATGAATAACAAAAAACAAAATACATAAAGGAAGGTATTATTCTCATCGGTGTGCCATCTGTTGCTCTGTAGGACGGCAGACGACAAGTGCAGCCCCTGACCCAAGGTCAGGGCACATTCTCACAGCAAAAAATCCCACGTCGGTGTTGGCTGAGCATGACATGGAATCTTGAAGAACATGGGTTCCAGCATCTCCGGAACATCCTTCGACCTGAAGAACAGCTCTGAGATGAGCAACTGATCCCATTCCTCAATCTTCTGAATGTCCTCACTGTTCATGCAACAACTTGTTTCATTTACCTTTGTGTCATTGGAATGGACTAATCGAGGTTTCTCTCCTTGATGAATGCAAAATTTTGAGGACATTTGGATATCTCTGAAAAAGTATGATGAGAAGATCAAATCCTTAATTAATGAAAAAACTGAATAAGATAATTATATTAAAGTAAGTTTGTAAAATATTTACTGATTCAGGAAAACACTAGCAACTGCAAAAGAAGTGAATAAATTAAAATAACACAAAACCCAATCGCAAGAAGATTCAATGTACATTCTATAATTCTACAGTTTCTGCTTTTCCTAATAATCAAATGAGAATAAAAGAAATGCCAATAACATGAGCTCACTTGTTTTTTGGAGAGGCAGGACATGCATTGTCCATTTTCATTTTGTTCCTTGGTTCATAGAAGAGCAACTTCTCAGTCTAAAAACATTGTTTATTGTTGTCAACAATGAAAGAGAAATGTATTCAACCATTTTAAAACTATTTGCAAAGCAGTTGCTTACAGAAACTATCAAGCTACATTAAAAATAGAAAGTGAAGTATACCAAGGTATCAACATTGGAAACAGCAACTTTCAATTTGTTTTCTTGCTCTGTTACTTGCTTTTGAAGATGTTTTTTCTCAGCTTTCAGAGCTGCAATGCATGTTGCTTGCTTTTCTATTTCATTTTTCTGAATTTCTACACAATTCTGTAAATTTTCCAAATCCGCTGATAAGTTGTCTCTACTAGTTACTAAGTTTTCAACCTGATGTGGATAAAACAAGATAAAATTAATTATTGTGTAATCAATTACATTGGTATATATGTTTATAAAGCTACATGCCTCTAAAGCCAGAGCTTCTTTCTGAGTTGCAAATTTTTCATTGGTAATTGCCATTTCATTCATTTGCTGTTGAACTAATTCTTTTAAATTGCTCAATTCTCTGGTCATAATTTCTTTCTCTTCTTTGCAACTGCCAATTATAAATAAAATAAAAAGTTAATATATGAATTACTGTTAGAGTAACATACATGAAGTTGATCTCCGCATCTGTCCAACATTCTCATTGAATCTTTATTATTTGTCTATCTCAGTGGCGGCTCGTGGTCATGACATTAGGGTTTGCAACGTCTCTCTTTTCTCTCCTTTCCTCCCCCCTGTCATACACACACAACCATTTACAAAGGCATATATATTCATTAACATCAATCAAGACAATTGAACACAGATCATCTTATGAAGTCTGGTAGCATGCTAAACGGTATCTTTCATCAGCAGTGAGGGTTGCCCGTATTTCTTTTCACACCTGCTTCGACTTCGCCCGGCAAAGATCCCTTCCGAAATATTTACTGCCAGAATCGAATTACCGTGTTCTACCGCGAATTACTCAGCACGTTACAGAACATTTTTCCAGGGATGTTAAGAGTTCTATAGTACATGTTGAATCAAACTTTTTCACTCGTACTTTTGAATTGAATGATGCCTCGTAGCGAAATTCCGACCATGATACCTGGCTCTTCCGTCTGAATACGCAAATTTCGGCTGCGCTTAGTTTCCATAAGCTCTATGTATAAATTTTAGGCTGAAAGTACACGTTACGCAATACTCAAAATAATGTAGATAATTGCCGCCTACATTGTGTGACGAAATCCAAAGTCAATTCAACGCTGTTTCTTTTCAGCAAATTTGTCTTCGCGCTTGACAGAAAAATGAACATTCTAACTTCAGTTTTTCAAAACGCATTAAAAAAATGAAACCAACTACATACGTGTACAAAATGCATTTGGGTTTTCATTAATTCGAAATGGGTTAGTAATTACAACTCATTACAAAATAAAAGAGAATGTGCTTATAATATTCAAAACTATCATACTATAACCATGAATGAATACCATGGTGTTAATTTAAGATATAACGCTCAAAACTGTCATACTTTGCATCTTCAGACCTCCAACAAAGCGAGCTTTAGATAATTTCATTTTCTTAGAAAATATAGATATCTGAACAAAATTAGTAATCTATCATTTAAATCCATTATTATATGTGGAGATTTCAATATTGATTTTCTGAGCGAATCCTACGGAAAAGGAGTTACTCAATTTACTGCATTCTTTTAATTTAGATATTACAGTGAACGTACCTACACGGAATACATTTAAATCACAAAAAGCAATAGATCAAATTATAATGGACTAAACTACAACTAGATATGAAATAAAAACTACTAATATAGGTTGCAGTGCACGATGCACAAATTCTTTCAATTACTAATAACATGAACAACGATAACATAAAATTATTTACGGACTACTTGCTGAAGGAATCATGGGACAGTTTATAACGCTGTTGACCAAATGAAAAATATAATATATTTTTTTAAAGCTTTCATTCCACTTTAACGCATGCTTTCCTCCCAAAAAGAGAAAATTATACATTTCAAGAAAAAATAATACTTGGATCGCACAAGTAATTAGAACATCGTGTAAAAACAAACTTACGATTTACTTTATTTCTAAACATCGTATCACCCGGTTTCCATGTCTATTTCCGAGAATCCAAAAGAACAAAACTAAAAGCAATGTGGAATATCGTAAAAACCGCGTGCGACCACATAATCTCGGTACTTAGTAGAGAACGTTGCTTTAAAGGATAATGAAAGAGAAGCAAGTTATCTTGAAAAGTGGCAAATCTCTTCAACATTTTTCTCAAATTACAGTTGAACTCACGAAGGGACTAAACCACAAAATTCAACATTATTTTCCCAAAAAATGTTCGATAACGATATTTATTTCCGAAACTTCTAACAAAATTCTGAGAATAGTCAGTAAACTAAAAAATAAATATTTATCTGATTTAGATGAATTTCTGGATTGTTTATTGAAAACTTGTACCTGCCTTTATACACCCGTTAACTCACATTTTCAATGCTTCTTTATGCACAGGAGCATTTCCGTATTTTCAAAACAGCAATAATTAAGCAACTTTTTAAAAAGGTGAACAAAATTTAAAATTACCGGCCAATTTCTCTTTTGTTAGTTTTCTCAAAAATATTAGGGAGGCTTTTCTGTACGCGAATAGGAACTTTTCTCAGAAAAAACGAGGGCTTTTCAGACTCATTAGACGGGTTTAGAAGATCGAAATCTACGAAAACTGCAATTTTTTTATTTTCTTAAAGATGTTGCTTCATCACCACCATCATGCACCAAAATGAAGTACATATTGGAATATTTTTAGATCTTTCGAAAGCTTTTGACGTTATTGACCATAACATCTTGCTATCAAAATTACCTCCTTATGTAATTCGTGGTATCGCACTAGATTGGATAACCCCGTACCTTAAACATCGATCTCAGAGTTGAAATACCGTTCTGACACGAAAGGATATTATTTACTTATCTTTCCCATTATTCATCAATTGAATATTGGGTCCAGAGAGTATATATCAGAGACGGCAGTCAATGTTAAACGGAAAGCCCTTATTTTCGTGGAGGGGAGAGAGAGAGAATCATAGAGGAAAGGATAAGTTTTTATTTTGCCCCCTCGCCTATATATAAAATAATATAAAAAAAAGTTTTTTCCATTTACTCAATTGGGAGCCAATGCCCTGATGTGCCCTGATGTTGGAAATGGCAAATAATTGCAAAAATGATGAGGAACTTTGTTCCCCTTCCGTTAAAACTACATTTTTTTTATTTATGCAAAAAACCATTTTGGAAACTTATTTAAATCGTATACAATTTTATTGTTTTTCATTTTTCGCAAAAAGACATTCCTTGGATACATCGCAACGACTCTTCTCTCCCGTTTTTATGTAGACGACGGACTGAATATGCTTGATCGTTGTAACGGTTAACAATATATTAATCTCGCTTAACAGAAAGAGAGAATATAAGATCGTGACCCTTTGGCGAGACCAATTCGGAGGGAGGGTGTGTTACTAATCGGTAAACGTCCTGTATTGAAGTATGTGGTGCGAGGGACATAGAGATTGTGTGGGGAGACGTGAGTAGGGGAGGTAAGTCCGCATTGTCTGCCACTCGCAAGACGGCTGGTAACGCTGGTTTGCAGACTAATTTTAAAACAGAACGTTTGATTTTGTGGATTTGTTGCTCAAAACACCGACAGTAATACAGACGGTTTCTCTTGGTGTTTGGCATTTCTGCACATTTTCCGAATGATTGATTATTTGGTTGTTTGGCAGATTTTAGTAAGAAATCCGAAATATAGGCGTTGGGGTTCCATATGCCACAATAGCAAAAGGGAAATGGGAAAAGACAAGGTTTTTTCTTCTTCAAGTAAACTGAACGGTAAAGTTGAATGAATATTATGGCAGATCTTGTACGAATGTTTAACATTATGATTCGAATAATGATATTTTTTTTAATTTACAAATAACTGTGGCTATTTTTATAAAAAACTTTTGCTAACATAACCTTACGAGTTTAAACAATTGTTTAACAACATTTATTATTTTACAGTCATTTTTAATACGCAACAATCTTGAATTAAATGATTTAATTTAGTTTCTTATATTTTAGTAATTTATTAATTACAGAACATTATTTAGTATAAATATAGGTGTATGAATTGGTTGATGGCAATTGGAGACCCAACATTGGCTGTTTGCCCATGTGAAAATCACTAGATGACCACAGAAGGTGTGTGCATGGAACATTTCAATGCCTACATGTGGTTGACTGCGAGCAGGAAAGCGGGTGGAATTCGATAACTATCATATTCAATGATGATGCATCCTTGAAATTGACAAGAAAAAGCCACGTATAAATAACCATAAATTTAATTCAATTCAATAAGCATACATCAGAACATTTTTATAGCCTACACCATACAGTCGTAGTTTATGTTTTTAGCCTATATATAACCATTTTTTCACATTTTTAGTGAATGCCATATTCCCTCTTTATAGTCAATAACACTCTCTCCGTGTGTACAGATTCTTCTCCTTCCGCTGGAAGAGGAAGACAACAGACTGAGGGGGAGGTATTGCGCTCACCTCTTCCAATGTGCTAGTTTCTAAGAAATATCGTGTGCTGTCTATGTATGCATTTATGAGGAAAAATACACTGATAACATAGTATTCAATCCGTTCATTTTGGTAATCTCATTGGTATTGCCAGTGCAATAAATTTGGAGATTTGAAAAGATAACACTTATTAATAGTAAGTAGTAGTAGTTTATCATGCGTGATTTACATATATCACCAATGTATCCCTAAAAATCAATATTTCTAAATCATTATATTAAATTATATTTAAATGAGATGAGAATTATGTTAGTAATGGGATTAAAGTAATAATACAAAACCATGCCGATCAATCCGATTTTGAAGATCCAGGTAATTACTTTCATTTAAACGCCTTTCATATAACAATGATTTCTAACACAGAATATTGGCATTAGTAGTACACACAACATAAGTATTCATTGTAACATATCTCATTCTTCTAACACATTCTTATGATTTTTTCTTGTGCATTATCATAACTGAATACTGTCCAAATTGGCAACTTCCAATATTTCATTAATTCAAGAAGATAGAAGAAATTTGTCTAGCAATGTAATAAATCAAGAGAAACATACATTGAATCAACATTGGTGAGCTTCACTTTTCTTACAACAAGAATGTACAAATTGAAGTATGGTTTTTTTGTTTTATATAATGGAAAATATATTTGAGGAGAACGTCTCATGTAATGGCTGCTTAATTTATTAAATTCTCACTATTTATATTTCTTACATGTTTGCTTGTTACTGATATACATGCATTGGAAAACATTTGGATGTTACTAGGAAATTTATATTACTTCTGAAATTTTCACCAAATGCAATGACTATTTTGAGATTGTATTTAGAGGAATCAGTTTAATTTTAAAATGTTATTGTGTATTTTTATTATAGTTATAATATAACACGTATCTACGATCAAATATAAACTATACTAATAATTTTTGC